AGCCAGCACTGGACCAGTACTGGAGTAAGGATGCACTGATTTCCACGCCATCGTTCTCGGCTGCCATGAAGCGGGACAGATTCATGAGTATCCTCATGTTTCTGCATTTCTCGGACAACGCTGCACCGGACGAAGCTGACAAGCTACGGAAAATTCGCCGCCTGTTAGATCTGTTTATCGATCGTTTTCAGGCAGTGTACACGCCACGCAAAACCATCTGCATCGACGAGGAATTGGTGGCGTGGAAGGGCCGACTGAGCTTTCGCCAATTTATTCCATCTAAGCGTGCTCGATTTGGTATCAAGATTTTTGCCCTGTGCGAGGATTCTGGATATATGTATAACTTCATTGTGTACGTCGGCAAAGATAATGTCAATCTCAGCCCGGACATGGTGAAGCAGCTGGGAGCATCGGGCGCTGTCGTCGCGAAGCTGATGATTCCACTTGAGAATCAGGGACACCACCTGTATGTGGACAATTGGTATTCCAGCCTGCCACTCGCCAAGTACCTCAGTCAGCACCAGACCGGTGTATGCGGCACCATCCGCAAAAACCGGGTTGGTTTGCCGAAGCGACTGACTGGCTATAAGCAGCTGAAGAAATCAGAGTACACTTACCGTAGCTCGCAAGGAGCGCTTGTCGTAAAGCTTCAGGACACAAAGGAAGTCATGTTCCTCTCCACTTTGCACCGTGCCAATGCTGTGCCAACTGGCAAGCGTGATCGAGAAGGAAAGGCTGTCAAGAAGCTACAGGTAGTCCATGACTACAACCGGTACATGGGTGGTGTGGACCGGAACGACGCCATGCTCTCAAACTACACTGCTGCACGCAAATCCACCAAGTGGTACAAAAAGCTCGGCACACATATCCTGGAGGAAGGGCTACTGAACGCGTTCATCTTGTACCAGAAAGCTGGCGGCAAGCGAAAACACTATGATTTTATTCGAATTGCGATGAGTGAGCTGTTGGCCGAAGGTGTCAAGGGACGACATCTAGATGCAGCAGCACCAACAGCAGCAGCGCCAACAGCGGCAGCAGCAGCACCTGCAGCAGCAGCGCCAACAGCGGCAGCAGCAGCAGCAGCACCTGCAGCAGCAGAAGCACCAGCAGCAGTACCAACAGCAACAGCATCCGGACCAGCTCCAGCTGAGCCAACGGAACCTCATCCGGCAGCAGCGACAGCAGCAGCAGTAGTTGAACCGCTACCAGCAGCGGCAGAGATTGCGGAGCCAGCCCAAGTATGCCCAGCTGCCCCAGGACGCCATCCTGATGTTGTTGCAGCAGCACCGACTCGCACACAGACTCACCACCAAAGCCCAAGCAGGTTGACTGGACGTCACCATCCAGCATTTGTCCCACCAACACCCAAGAAGGAAAAGCCGCTGAAGCGGTGCGTCGTTTGCTGGGCGAGAGGCAGGCGCAGGGAGAGCCGCGAGTGCTGCATGTCATGTCCGGGGCAGCCAGGCCTGTGTTCAGTGCCTTGCTTTGGAATCTACCACACCGAGTATGACTATGGCCAAATTTGATGGTGCTGGAGCAAAGGAGCACAGCAGTTCACTGTTATCATGTACATACTGTATATATTGTAAATATAACGCCAAATTAGCGTAAAACTACCTTTCTGAAAACGGCCATAACTTTTGTAATTTTTGTTGTATTTCCAAAACAAAAACAGTTCTGTGCTCAGGATACATGAAAGAATCGTTTGAAATCAAGTTTGCTCACATAGAGTGAATTTAAAATTTTGTCATTTTTGTACTGCGTGGCAGAGGTTTTCAATGGGCCCGGACTCAAAAGGTTAATACCAGACCGCAGCGCAGAACTGCAACACAGAGCCGGCGTCAAACGGTCGCTCTGAGAGACTCCAATCTTGTGTAAACACCACTCGTTCGAGTCAGGTTACAATAACACGCATGATTTCTTGCAATATGTCAAGCTGAGACCCAATCTCAGACAATCCGTCTGCTTTCAGCTCTCCCATGTATTCTTTGCTATTTCAGTCAGATTCTCAGTCGCAGTATTTCAGTCATACTGCTTTCAGCTCTCCCATGTATTGCTATTTCAGTCAGATTCTCAGTCGCAGTATTTCAGTCATACTGCTTTCAGCTCTCCCATGTATTGCTATTGCAGTCAGATTCTCAGTCGCAGTATTTCAGTCATACTGCTTTCAGCTCTCCCATGTATTCTTTGCTATTTCAGTCAGATTCTCAGTCCCAGTATTTCAGTCTTACTGCTTTCAGCTCATGCTACGTCAGTGTAGCTTCCGATCCCTTTTATATTATGGCTATTACAGTCTAGGTCTTAGTCAGACTATTGTCAACTGTACAGCCTACAGTTTCACCGGCTGTGTGTTCGCTCAAATTCAGTTTTTTTTTCTTTCGTTCTTACGCTGCCTTCAAGCAGCTTAGCCTAGTTCTCAGTTTTCAGGTGTACTTGCCTACACTTCGATAAGTAACTTCAGTTCCAAGTCACTTGGACTCAGTGTCAGTACTCGCAAGGTTTTCAGTTACAACCGCTTTGCCTCAGCACAATTTAGAATTTCTTTCTTTCATTTTCTACCTTTGTTGCATTCACCACATTTTTTCTCTCTTGCTGTCTCGGGAGTGTCGCGAATTCGATATTACGTAACATTCGCGAACGCTAAAATAACTCAGTTTGAATGTTTCACGTAACTTTTCTCCTTTTTTGTCTATCGCCATATTTGCCATGGCGATGTGCAGTGCTGGCAGTTTTTCATGCGCATGCTTGATCCTTTGGCGATCATCTTTTTGCTTGCTGACTACACTCAAGGAGTTTCAGTTTTCTTATCCTAATGGTACGTCTGACGACGATCAAGTCCAATCCTTGTTGCTCTGTGTCTAATGTCAGTAACAATTAATCCAGTAATGATAGAGCTACAATTGTAGTGCTCTCTCGACTCAGCGAATAGAATATTTCAGTCATACAGTATTTTGTGAGTGGCAATCAGGCCGGGAAATTCAAACTGTATTTATGCCACCACAGCGGTGGCCATTTGTCCGCCCTTGGCGGGCGAATGCTAGTTTCAGGCATGCATCTTCACTCACTCAATTATTATCAAAGAGCATATTCTTGAATATTTGAATTGTCCAAAAGAAATCCTGGCAACCCCCAACACAATGTGTCTATTGTATGTTTGTGCACGCCATAGTGAGCGGTACGTCGTGCGGGTGTCTGCGTGTCAGAGCATGGGTACGCCAGTGGCGTGTGCGTGCATGTGTGCGCTTGTGTCTGACTGCGTGGGTGCACGAGTGCCCAAGCTGGGCGTGCGGGTTCACTTGGAAGTGCTTGCATATTTACGGGTGCAGGGATTAACCGTGTACTTACCCTCGCATTCACTCGCGAACTATCAAACACGTCCTGTGCCGCATGCTGATCAGGTAGTGCCATGTATGTGTTGTACAGTGTACTCTCAGTTGACATGCCCCCTTTCGAATCCAGACAATCTTTTCGGGATTGGTCTATAATGCCATCTTTCTGTCTTCAGGATGCTGAGTCGAATGGTCTTGGTCCGAGGAATTTGAGACGCTTCCTCCTTTATCCCCAATCGAAACTGGGTGACACTATCAGAGGGGGATTTAGGAAAGGGTTTGCTCCCACACTGGAGCTCGCGCTATTCCGACGACTTGACTTGACACTTGACTCCGGTGTGGCAGCAAACCCTTTCCTAGAAAAAAATTATCGCCGAAGTCGCAACCACTATTTCACAGAGGGGGGTTTGTATGCAAACTGTCACTAAAAGCGCCAGTTCGTTCTTATGAAAGCACGGATGAACACGATTGGCCCATAATATATTGTATTCTTTTGGATGCTGAGTCGACTGGTATTGTTCCAAGAAGGCTGCGATGCAGCGTTTGGCCCTTATTCCCAAATAAAACACGGGTGAGTAAGCGGTCACGTGCTTGTCCGTACACCAATCACCTGGTCATCGTGCCTGCAAGCTACAACATTTTTACACCAAGGTTCAACTCAAAGGTTCAAAGGGGGTTCAACTCGAGTGACAGGAACGTGCCCAAACAGGCTGTAAGTTGTAAGGAGCTGAGCTGCTCACTTTGCACCAGCTGTACAAGTCATTGCCTGCCTGCTGGTTATTTCACCTGCTGCTTATTCTTCCAGCCACGAACGCCACATCGGAGAGGTCATTCAGTGCACTTCGCAGCCTGAAGACGTTTATTCCATCCACACAAGACCGTGTCAATCATCTTTCTCCAAGTTATGAGAATTCGTATACATCTAGAGGTTATACCAATGATTTCAAGGAGATTTTCGAATGGACACACTAGTATACGAGGGTGAGTCAGCAGATTTTCGAATGTGTTCAATATGCGGCGCTGTGCCACGATCACTCACGAATCTGCGACTTCGCCAAAAACATTTCAACTGACGATGTAATTGTATAACCTGTATAGGTGCACTACATGTACTGCTGCTTATTCTTCCAGCCACGAACGCCACATCGGAGAGGTCATTCAGTGCACTTCGCAGCCTGAAGACGTTTATTCCATCCACACAAGACCGTGTCAATCATCTTTCTCCAAGTTATGAGAATTCGTATACATCTAGAGGTTATACCAATGATTTCAAGGAGATTTTCGAATGGACACACTAGTATACGAGGGTGAGTCAGCAGATTTTCGAATGTGTTCAATATGCGGCGCTGTGCCACGATCACTCACGAATCTGCGACTTCGCCAAAAACATTTCAACTGACGATGTAATTGTATAACCTGTATAGGTGCACTACATGTACTGGTACATTGTAGTAACTTGATTCGGTCATATCATTTTAAATTTAAAATGTCTCTCCGGACCAGTCAAATATGTGGCAGCTACAGCCCGGGCATACATGATGCCGTGCACTATGTACGCATCAATATTCAGTACATGAGGACAAATGGTTTGGTGTCCTTGAAAAATACTTGATGTCACAAGAGTTTGTTGCAAAGCGCATTTGATTGGTGCATTCTACCTCCAAAGCTCACCTCATCTTGGACATTAACGTCGACACCATTTTTTATCAGCAGCTCACACAGTGCTTTATGTCCACGGAACGCGCAGACATGTAGAAGTGATGTTGGTTGGCAGTACTATTAGGTCACCGTAGCAACAAACAAACAAACACACACATACACATTCTTACAATCACCCGCAAAGCATGCAAGTTCCAGATTTTTGCTTTCTATTGCAGCATAGTACCATACACATGTAATCAAAGTGCAAATGACTTGTTTCCAAAAACAGAGCATATCTCATCTTAGTGTGTGTGTGGTAGAGGACAGGGACACAGTAAATACTGGCTGGAACTTGACATGAAATCCACAAAAAACACTTGGATCAGTGGTCCCCATGTACAGAACTCATAACCGCAGATTAGTGATACAAAGAGTACATAACCCCAAGAGTGTGCAACTGCCCACACAACCTTTATCGAGTGCTGCTACGCCAGAACTTCACATCACTTGTGATTCAAAAGGTTACGCTGGCAAGCAGTGCAAAGTGACCACAGGAGAGTTGAATCCAAAACAGGGTTGCGTTCAACCCTCTTTCTATCATGCACAGTGTGAACATACTGTGTGCAAGCTCGTCATGTGATGTGAAATCCTGCCATCTCTTAACGTGTTACAACAAAACTGCAGTAGCACACTCTTGGGGGTTGTGTACCCTTGGAGGAACTACAGTACCTTTTCCCTTATCGTTCACCTCTACTAAAGTATACCCACTGGCCAGTGGTTATGTTGTACCTCTACTAAATTATACCCACTGGCCAGTGGTTATGTTGTAGCTCTACTAAAGTATACCCACTGGCCAGTGGTTATGTTGTAGCTCTACTAAAGTATACCCACTGGCCAGTGGTTATGTTGTACCTCTACTAAAGTATACCCACTGGCCAGTGGTTATGTTGTAGCTCTACTAAAGTATACCCACTGGCCAGTGGTTATGTTCTACTTGGTCCGACGTACTAAAATGTGCGCTTCGTTTCCGAAGCCTACCAAGCAAATCCAAATTATCTCAGGACGAAATAAACTTCCCAGCTACCTTACAGTGTCCTTCAGTTGTCGATTTGTGACATTGAGGAAGGAATGGCTCAAAACTCCAAAGGAGGCAGCACCTCAAACTCCTAGACGACTCGTGCGTTTCGCGTTCAAATGTTGTCGTCAGAAGACTCTTGTTGCTTCACCTGCAACACTGAGAAGGCTTGGTCCTGATATCAAGACCCCCAATACGATGGAGAATTGTCACGGAGTACCAGGAACTCCAGGGCGATCGTTCTTGATTCCCTCCTGACAGATTAAAGTCGCTGCAGTCTCTGTTTCCTGGGCAGAATTTTCTGCAAACGCGTCATCCAGAAACTAGTGCAGGTTGTCCAGCTCACTGATGTATCTCGCAGTCGTCCACGATGTGGGGGCCGACGACTCAAGATCGCCGAGAAACTGATCAAGAAAAACAACCACCCCTGGAGTTGCCTTTCCCACGAGAAACTGGCTGGAAAACTGAAATGAACAAACAGTGAAGTTTTCTGCGGATGCGGTTTGTGGATGGTGTGGAGTTTTCGGAGCCGCGAGGCGTTATCGTTGCACCAAGCCAATGCGAAAGCTCCATCTCGTCTCCAGTGACAGTGTACTACTACCGGTAGTGGCCCATTGATTCATACGCCAGGGATGAGCGCATACGGTCGGACTGTATGACACAGACTGTCAGTAAGCGGAAGAAGGTGATGAGAAGTAATCTGGTGCGTGGTGGTTTACCTGTTCGCCTCATTTGAAGGTTTCGTGGCAACGTCGGGTGTAAACCCCTATAGCTATTCTGATATTTGCACTGCACGAGGGAGAGGCGAAGGCGATCGTCAAAATCTAATGATAGACAAAATCAAGGAAATGCAGCGTAGCTTGAAGGAGACAAAAAAAACTGGCGATGTTTTGCAGGGTGACGCGCTTGCAGATGCGCCCAGAGACACCAGCAGCGATGAAAACTAGAAGGTCAGCCAAAGAGACGATACAGTAGATATCTATCTACCATCTCTTGGTTGAGTTTTTAGTTGGTTTGTATTTGTATTTATGGATTCTCCACAGGCCTTAGCCTAAGTCGAGGGAGTCTCCGTCAACAGCTTATGAAGAAGAAGCTGAGGAGAAAAATAAAAATTGGAAATAGAATGATGCGGGGTGGTAGTAATATAACACACTGCTCTATGACAACGCTACTCTACTTGGAATGAAACCAGAGGGCTCATAACGGATGATAGCAAAGTGTGTGCGGACAAGGGCGGTAAAACATTTTGGGCTGGATACAGTACGAATGGCAGCCGGGAGGGAGTTCCATGTGGCAGTGGTGACAAAGAGAAAGGTGGCACGCGTGTGTGTGCTGGCTCTAGCAGTTGGGAGTAGATGTTGGGGCGCCTGGCGCTGTTTGACACTGAGTAGGCTAGGTCCTCCAGGGTCGTCATCTGGCTATTGATAAGGTGGTGGTGAAAGAGAACTATGGTGTTCGAATACTTATGTTATCACTCCCCCCTCACGTGACCGCGGACTCCTGCATATACACTCACACAATAACCACACAACTGTTTGGGGATAGCGCGCTTCTTGTATTATGCCAAACTTGACACGCTGAGTCCAGCTTGACTCAGCTGAGTCCCTAACTGCAATTTACTGCTCTAACATGAAGCCGTGCCTGGAAGAAGAGAAAAAGCGAAAAAAAAAAAAATTCTGGCCTTCTGCAAGCAATAGCAAGTAATGAGTGACGGCTGTGTAAAGTCGCACAACCATGCAGTCGACCGGATGATGGTGAGTGTCCGGCACACATCTTGCTCTGCTGCTCCACCTGCGCATACCTGATACGGTGGTGCGCTTACGGGCGGGCTGCCTGGGCCCCAGATGCCTCCTTGATGCGCCACGGAGTGCCGTCGAAGCACCTGTATCACTTCGGTGATCCAAATGCGAATGCAGCCTTGCCGGTCGCCCGCCGGCCTGCCGCCTACGCGACCAGCCTGAGACTGGCCCTGCCGCATTTGGCGCTTCTAAACGCTGCGATCCGGTAGACAGCTCACTGGGCTGCCAAAAACGTGACTGGCTTGAGGACAGTTCCATACTGGGCAGGGCGCCCAGCTCAGGTCGCACGCCGTGGCGGCGTGAGCTGGGCGCGGTGAGGGTTGGTGATAACTACAGTTTCCTCCTTCCTCCTCCGGAAACTTCCATATAACATTGTGTATGCATTTACAATTATTATTCACGATTTGCTAGAGTTACTTACGTGGTTTGTTATATTCTTGCTCAGTGAAGTCCCTCTGCAGAATAACTCTACGATGTGTCACTATCTGACAGGGTTTACTGTCACCCCGTATCGGGTGCAAGCACCCACTGACAGATCAAACACTTTTCTTTCCTCATCTTTGATCTTTCTGTCTTCGTCCTGCTCACTACTGTTTGTCGTTCGAATTTCTGATTTATTTATTTATTTTGCTTCTGCATTTCTGCATTTGTTTTGCACCATGTTTTCCATGGATACGCGGGCTGTGCGCAGCAGCGCACCTTTCTGGGGAGACTGGTATCATTTTAGGTTGCGTCCCACTACCCTTATTTGTTGCGTGTAGTACGCTGGTCTCGTTTGTGCTGCACTTGTACGTGCACGTTTTGCCAGGGACAGCGGTTTTGCATTCGCTCTTCTTGGCGCAGCCAGTTCTCTCTCGTTGCTCTCTCATTTTCTCCTTTCAACCATGCATAATTTGTTCCTTATCTGAAAAGGCTGTGATCTTTTGTGTAACGGTGTGCACGGGGTGCATGACTGAGTGCCTGGGAAGGTTTAGATAACAAAGTGGTACCGAAACCCTGTGAGAATGTCCAGGCGTATCGAGGCGTTTGTGAAACCCTATCGTGGTAGTGGCGATGATTTCGAGGCCTTCTGGTCTAAGTTTTTAGTATTAGCGAACCTCCAGCAGTGGAGTTCGGGCACAGACAAGATGAACAATTTACCATTGTTTCTGGAGAACGAGGCCTACCTGGTGTGGGAGGAGCTTTCGTCTACCGACAAAGCTGACCCGGATGCGGTGGAAGCAACTTTGAAGAGTGCATTCAGTACGACGCCTAATGCATCTTTCCAGAAATTTCGTGCCTGCACGTTGCGGACCGATGAGAGCGTCGAAGGGTACGCTGCAGACTTGAAGAAACTGCTAGTTGGTGCTGGCCAGAAAGTCGCGAGTGACGGCAAAGACCGTGTAGTCATCGAGCAGTTCGTTGCTGGTTTGCCCTGGGAGTTTCAACGCCAGTTGCGAATAAATTGTTCCAGGGCGTCTGTATCTGACTGTATTGAGTATGTCCGTCGCTTGCGGAGCGCGGAGGGTACGTCGCGTCCGAAAGAGCCGGTTGGCGCTGCGGCTGCTAGCTCCCAACGCAGCCGGAATGTTTTATGTTTTCGTTGTAATCAGTCTGGACATATTTCCCGCAATTGTCCCGCAAACCGGAGATCTGGCAGCAGCAGAAGTCATGGCAATGGTGGTGGTCGGCCAGCTTTGACCTGTTTCTTCTGCGATGAGACAGGTCACGTGAAGCCAAACTGTCCGGAGTACAAGAAGTGGCGCCAGTCCCGCCAGCAGTCTGACACGTCCTGGCGTGCAAAGGAGTCTGAAGTGCAGGCCGCAGCACCTGAGCGCACGCCTGATCCATGCCTCTGTGTGCCTGATGCGAATGCATGCTCTTTGCCGCGTCTCCATGTGGATATTGCTGTGGGAGAACAGTCTGCTCGCCCTAAGGCAGTCGTGGACACCGGCGCCAGCCGCAACCTGATGAGCCGGCAGCTGGTGGAGGCCCTGAATGTGGATGTTTGTCCGTCCGAACTGGCAATTTCGGCTATTGACGGCAACAGTGTGCCTATCCAGGGTGAAGTTTCGCTGCAGGTGTCCAGACTCGATGATGCTGTTTATCTGCCATGCACTACGAGTCAGTTTCTCGTCGTCCCAGATTTGCATGCCGTTGGCTCAGATCTTGTCATTGGCCTGGAACTGATTTCCGCACTGGGCGGTGTTGACGTCCAGTATGATCATGGCGTGCTCACTGGTGTGACGTTTGGCACGAAACCGCAGACCGTTGACCCAGTTGCAGCTTCACCCGAGAGGTCGACCCATGACCATCCATATGGGCATGTGACAGTTACCAGAGATGACGAGGGTAATGTCACCCTAGCAACGGATGATGGCCAAGTGTGCTGGGACGCTGCTCGTAAGAGATGGGAGCTGACCTGGAAATGGCAAAGTGGGAGCGAGCCTCAGTCGCCCGTTAGCTGTGGCATAGGCGAGTACTCTCGCTCGAAACTGACTGATGAGCAGGAGACCCTGTTCCAGCAGGAGGTCCGGACTTGGATTGACAACGGCTGGCTGCAGCCGTATGATGTGGACCAACATGGCCAGCCCAAGTGTGTGCTGCCTTTTCTTGCTCAAGTCCAGGAGCACACGTCGTCCACTCCAGTTCGCCCGTGCTTGGACTATCGCAGGCTGAATGCCTGCATCATCTCACATCCTGGCTCAGAAGCACCTGCCTGTGGTGAGAAATTACGGAAGTGGCGTCAGGCTGGACCTGCATCTGAGTACGTTCTCCTGGACATTCGCAAGGCCTACTTACAGGTCCATGTCGCACCATCATTGCTGCCATACCAGGTTATCCTCGTCGACGGCCAGCGTTACGTGAAAGAACGGATGGCGTTCGGTCTATCCATTGCCCCCAAGTTCCTAGTCATCAGAGTGAAGTGGGTCTTGCGTGACGTGGTCGATGCCGACAACTACGTGGATGATATCCACGTGCCGCGTGACCGTGCTGCCGAAGTGTCCTCTCAGCTTGCTGTGTTTGGTTTTGAGAGCAAGCCTGCAGAGCCATTGCCTGATGCCCGTGTTCTGGGCTTACAGCTCCATTCTAGCGCCATGCACGGGTGAAGTCTTGTAGACCCGTCGTCAGGGTGTTGATCTGTCTGTTCCACCCACGACTACGAAGCGGGAACTCTTCAGTTGGTGCGGTCGGGCGCTCAGCCATTATCCCGTCTGCTGTTGGCTTTGTCCGGCCTGCAGCTTCTTGAAGCGCCTCGTGTCTGGCCAGTCCGCATGGGATAAGCCTGTCTCTCCTGAAGTACAGCGGTTCCTCCAGGAACTGTCCGATCGCTGTGTGCGAGAGGATCCTGCTCATGGTACGTGGCATTCTTCCTCTACTGGTTCTGGTTTTGTTGTTCATTGCGATGCCTCTGATGTTGCTATTGGTGTTGTTTTGGAGTGTGATGGTTCTGTTCTGGAAGATCGTTTTTGGCTCCGGCCAAAGGACGACCGGCGTCATATCAATCTTGCTGAGTTGAATGCTGCCTTGAAAGGCCTCGAGCTGGCTATTGATTGGAATGTCTCTTCTGTTGTGCTCAAGACAGACTCTAAGACTGTCTTTGGTTGGCTCCAGGCTGTGTTGCGCAATACTGAATGGGTGCGAGTTAGTGGTTTGCAACATGTTTTGGTTCAACGTCGTCTGCAGATCTTTACAGATTTGATTGAGGCATCCGGTATTTCGGTCAAAGTGCAATGGGTGCCAAGTGCTGAGAATCATGCTGATGTACTGACTCGTGTTCCGCAGCCGTGGGTTGCTCATGCTAAGAAGTTGTGTTCTTCTGCTGATGTCGCTGCTTCTGCCCCCTCTTCTACACTTTCACATTCATTTGAGTTTGACGTGTTGAAGTCTTGTCAAGCTACTGATGATGCTATCCAGAGCGTTATTCGCGATTTGTCTCGTGACGTCTCTGTTTCTGATCCGTCGTTCTGCAAGTTTCGTAAGCAGTTGTGTGTTATTGATGGTCTATTGTGTCCCACTTGGCGTGACCCCGTCGACGGTGAGGTACTGGCTCCTGTTGCACCGCAATCCACCGTTCCCGCTTTGATTACTGCTGCTCATGCCAATAGAGGTCATGGCAATTGGGAAACTATGTGGCGTTCTCTGTGTCAGTCTTGTTTCTTTCCAGGTATGTCTTCGCTATGCCAGGCCTATGTGCGTAATTGTCAGGCCTGCCAGGCTGCCAATCCCCGCAGTGGTCCACCTGCTCCTGCTGTTCAGAATGACGTTCCTGTCAAGCCGTGGGACATTGTCCAGATCAATACACTGGAGCTCGGTGTCAACCAGACCGGTCAGTACCATTGTGTGTTAGTGGTTGTCGATATGTTTTCCCGTTGGGTCGAGGTGGTACCTTTGCGGCGTCATGATGGTCGCTCTGTTGCTGAGGAATTTCTGCATCTCTGTTTGAAGTTTGGTCCGCCGCGTGTGGTGCGTTGCGACAATGGTCATGAGTTCCGCAATGCTATTGTGTCTTCTTTGTTGGATGTGTTTGGTGTTTGCGTTCGTACTGGTGCGGTCCGTCACCCTCAGTCAAAGGGTGGCGCCGAGAGATTCAATCGTACTATTCTCACTCTTATTCGCAAGGTGTTGGATACTGCTGCCGATTGGCTAGCCGAGCTAGAGATTCTTTTTACCGTACTCGTCCGCATAGTGAATTGAAGATTTCTCCCATGCGTGCTATGTTTGGCTGGGAGCCTCGTGCTCTATTTGTGGACGGTATACCATCTACTCTTTCGTCCTCTCTTTGGGTTGATGGTGTGTGTGATAAGGCTGCTCGGGTTCACGACTATTTGACGGCGGTTGTTGCAGAGCACGCCCCTGCGCCTGTTGTTGAGTCGCCTTCTTGTCCGGATGTTGTTGGTGATCGTGTTCTATTGCGTAACCCTGATCGTCGCCAGAAACGTCAGCCCCCGTTCGATTCTGGTTGGTCAGTTAAACATGTTATTGGTCCTGCCAGTGTTGTGATTTGCCGTGTGCATCCTGAGTCAGGTCGTCGTCAGGAAAAGGTGGTCAATGCCGAGCTCTTGAAGCGTGATGTTGGTTTGGTTGTTCCTGATGTGCCGTGTGCTTCTCTAGTGTCCCCGCCTGATGTTGGCGATGTTCGCGTTGATGGTCCTCGTGATGATGGTGATGATGATGGTTGGGTTTGCTTGGACATCCCCCCCCCCCCCCCCATCTGATCATCTGGTTGGTGGTCATTCATTACGTCCCCGTGGTTCTCTGCAGCCCCCTGCTCGCTATCGCTAGGCATCTGCCTTCCCTGCTGTATATCATTACATGTATGCCCCATCCAATGTTATCAGGTGGAGGGGTGAAAGGGAACTATGGTCTTCGAATACTTATGACAACATTGTGTATGCATTTACAATTATTATTCACGATTTGCTAGAGTTACTTACGTGGTTTGTTATATTCTTGCTCAGTGAAGTCCCTCTGCAGAATAACTCTACGATGTGTCACTATCTGACAGGGTTTACTGTCACCCCGTATCGGGTGCAAGCACCCACTGACAGATCAAACACTTTTCTTTCCTCATCTTTGATCTTTCTGTCTTCGTCCTGCTCATTACTGTTTGTCGTTCGAATTTCTGATTTATTTATTTATTTTGCTTCTGCATTTCTGCATTTGTTTTGCGCCATGTTTTCCATGGACACGCGCGCTGTGCGCAGCAGCGCACCTTTCTGGGGAGACTGGTATCGTTTTAGGTTGCGTCCCACTACCCTTATTTGTTGCGTGTAGTACGCTGGTCTCGTTTGTGCTGCACTGGTACGTGCACGTTTTGCCAGGGACAACGGTTTTGCATTCGCTCTTCTTGGCGCAGCCAGTTCTCTCTCGTTGCTCTCTCATTTTCTCTCTCCTTTCAACCATGCATAATTTGTTCCTTATCTGAAAAGGCTGTGATCTTTTGTGTGACGGTGTGCACGGGGTGCATGACTGAGTGCCTGGGAAGGTTTAGATAACTGTTTAGATAACAGTGGAGCTCAAGAAGGCACTGAATGTGTCTTCGCCTTGCGAGGCTGGGCCATTGGAGGTGCGCGAAAAGTGAGGCTTTCGGCTTCGTTTGAGGAGGGTACACGCCATACTGCCGCAGGATCACACGTGCCACTCTTGCCTGTAGCCGTTCAAGGGTAGTAGCCTGAGCACTGGAGAGTTTAAATTGCCAGAGGGATGAGGCGTATTCAACCACAGGTCGAACATAATCCAGTGTACAAGCGGCTGGCTACGGCTGGGGTGATACGCTTGGTCATGTGGATCAGCAGGACCGCTCGCTGACGAAACTTTGTCGTGATGGTGGCGACGTGGTTGGTGAAGTAGTTCTGGTGCTCATTTGTACAAATGATTGAGTTTAAAAGTGAAGTGCACATTTGAACAAGCCGGACAAAGTAGCTCAACTAAAGTAAACCGTGTGTACAGTAAAACCTTCAACTAACGACCCCCTCCCCTTGGTGCCAGAAGAAATGGCCTTTAGTGGCATGTGGTCTTAAGTTACAGGTTTGAACCGCGCGAACATAATTCCATGTCTGATATGCATGTCAAAATGCAGCTAATGAAAATTCCCACCACTTGCGCAATGCCATTTCTCCTTTGAGCAGTAGCATCGATCATAGAGCTGGTTCGAGCAATTTCTCTCCAAGACGTTTCCTATAATGTTTGCTCATGAGAGCACTTGAAACTATGACAGGTGCAGTGCAGCCCATAGTCAAAACGAGATTGCGTTCATTAATGCAGCTGTAGTATCGAAAGAGTCCATTCAGGACAGAAAATCATCAAAATTTCGAAGAAGGAGCTTCGAACAACCTTTTATTTCCTGCACTGCTGTCGCTAGTTACTGGTCAAAATCGACTTTGGGACAAGAAAAGGCGGTCGCTGGATGCGTTCAACAGGTTGTCGCTTGTCACAGTGCATTTTTGTATATGAGACCGCCCGTGCCTGGCGAAGTGGTCTGTAGTAGCAGGCTGGCTGTTAGTCACGATGGTCTTTAGTTACAGGTTTTACTCTATTATGGCTTTGAGGCGCAATGTTCACCACATTAACAAAGAGAGGAACATTCAATTTTCTAGGAACATCTTTGACAGCGAAGTGACGCTGGATGAGCACGTGCTCAGTTTATCAGAATAAATAAACCAGTGATCAGAACAAACAGTTTCACGCCGAGCACTTTGGCCAGTACTCACCTGTCGTGGCCTATTATTGACATCCAACATTACTTTGCTGTGCAAGAGCGACGGATCACACCACAGTAAAAACTGGACACAATGAATGCTGCCATAGTAGCATGCTGCCAGCATCAGAAGAGCCTGAGTATGCAAGTGCAAATGCCCACACACGCACAAACAAGCACACAGATACGTACGTACATACATGCACATACGCACACGCTGACATGCTCACGCACACGCACACACACACACACACACACACACACACACACACACACACACACACACACGCGCGCGCGCACACACACACACACACACACACACCATTAAAACACATATTTTGCACGCACGTATGCTCATAAACAGTCACACAGGCGCGTGCGCACACACCGCACACACACACACACACACCAAAACACACATACAGATACATACACACATATAAACACACATACACATACCAAACACACAAACAAACAAAAAACAGATAAAGACGTACATTCTCGGGTAGACCACTACCCAAGTACATTCTCGGGTAGACCACTACTCGTGAGTACATTCTCGGGTAGACCACTACTCGTGAGTACATTCTCGGGTAGACCACTACTCGTGAGTACATTCTCGGATAGACCACTACCCCATGTACAAACCGGTTGCTATCTGAGTGAAAGCAAATAGTTGGAGAAGGCATCCAGGTAACAGCGAAGATGATCAGAGACGCAGAGAAGCTTTGTGACATATGACATCCCGTTAATCGACCTGCCACTTGGAACGGTTTCAGCGGTGATGAGTTGAGCGATGGCGACCCAGCTTGACACTCTGCTCCCACTAATCGATCCTGTAGATATTGTAGATATGTCGATTGAATGTGTTAAAGTGTTTCTCTTCCAAAAGAACACTTTTGTTGAGCTCAGTAACTCCTTGAAAAGTAATGTCAAAAAGTCACGAAGTTTTTGTTTCCGGAGGAAGTAGTAGGGTATCCATTTTTCTCCTGAGAAATCGATCAGGTGGTTGGAGTACAGTGTTTTTGCAACGGTGCATGTAAACAGCATGGCTATATGTACATGCTGCTGTAGAATTTCTATGTAGCGCAAGTGCACACTCACAGTACAAACTGTGTCAAAAATACCTGATAGGGTACCCGCGCTACCCGGATAAAATACCTGGACCCGTTACCCGACAAAACCCCTACCCATTGCAGCCCTAAACTAATGCACCGCAAAAAGTCGTTGAAATTAATTGCAAGTTGTACATAGTTTGGGAGGTGAAAATTGCTTTCGTGCGACACTGGCAAAGCATCGTTCATTTGAGGGGAGGGAGGAGATACTTCTGACTTACCATGATTGTCATGGGAATTCTCTCACTTAACGGATTGTGAAAGTATGACTTCGGCACTTGTTCCGAGAGATCCGGTCTTGTCACAGGTTCAGTTGGAGTGCCGATATTCACGGTGTGTCGGACTTGTTCCACATCGTCATCTTCACATGCTCTCACCAGGTGTGGGTGAGGTGCATTGGTTGAGTAGTAGTGATCACTGCACTCAGCCTGATTTGGTGGTTGATACTTGTCCTTACTCTCCTCTTCAGACGCTGCTTCCATTGCTACAGTACAAACATAAGCACATGGAAAAGCAATGTCTACTTGTAGAGGGGACGGCTCGATACCGGGACGCTTTGACAGCCAAATTTGTATAGACCCAAACCGATCATCAGGGTTGATTTTTCACTCGAAATATGTTTGTGGAAGGAAACTGGCATGTTGAAGTTTGCTCAGAGTCAATCGAACTGAGCCACTCCTTTGTGTTGTCCCATTGCCTCCAAGTTGGCCAATTTTTCGCTTCAAAAAGTTCAAATCAGAGGTGGCTCCAAACCGGACACGTTTTAGAGTGCACGTCAAATTCACTCTGGGTCTGAAATTAGGTAATTGCTATCGCTCCACGACGGCCAGTACAGAGTAACAATAAGCCTTGTGTGTGCTTCCATTAGTTTTGATTGGTATGCGGTGCTTTATTGGCGAGAGGCGAGCCGCTGTTTACCTACGACAAGAAGTTGATTTTTCGAAAGTCGTAAAACTCAAGTCGCAGTGCGAAGCAACACGTCAAAAACTCACCTGCTTGGTATGGCGCTTCTGGTCATCGCAGAGCCATGAAATTTTGGCTCGGAGTATAACACATCGTAGTCTTACTGTAACATAATTATGTTTTCTAATCAAAATACCAAGAGAGAAAGTGAATATTGAGTCCGTTCCGGTTTGCAACCTATGTCCTATTTGAAACCGTCCCCTCTACATGGTAAGATTGTATGGTATATAGGTAAATACTGGGATTGCATGGTGTATAGGTAAATACTGGGATTGCATGGTGTGTAGGTAAATACTGGGATTGCATGGTGTGCAGGTAAATACTAGGATTGCATAGTGTGTAGGTAAATACTGGGATTGCATGGTGTGTAGGTAAATACTGGGATTGCATGGTGTGTAGGTAAATACTGGGATTGCATGGTGAATAGGTAAATATTGGGATTGCATGGTGTGCAGGTAAATACTGGGATTGCATGGTGTGTAGGTAAATACTGGGATTGCATGGTGAATAGGTAAATACTGGGATTGCATGGTGTATAGGTAAATACTGGGATTGCATGGTGTATAGGTAAATACTGGGATTGCATGGTGTATAGGTAAATACTGGGATTGCATGGTGTATAGGTAAATACTGGGATTGCATGGTGTGTAGGTAAATACTGGGATTGCATGGTGTATAGGTAAATACTAGGATTGCATGGTGTATAGGTAAATACTGGGATTGCATGGTGTGTAGGTAAATACTGGGATTGCATGGTGTGTAGGTAAATACTGGGATTGCATGGTGTATAGGTAAATACTGGGATTGCATGGTGTGTAGGTAAATACTGGGATTGCATGGTGTGTAGGTAAATACTGGGATTGCATAGTGTGTAGGTAAATACTGGGATTGCATGGTGTATAGGTAAATACTGGGATTGCATGGTGTATAGGTAAATACTGAGATTGCATGGTGTATAGGTAAATACTGGGATTGTATGGTGTGTAGGTAAATACTGGGATTGCATGGTGTATAGGTAAATACTGGGACAGGGAACGCATCATCTTCTTCTGTTGAACATGTATTTGTCAACATGGCATCTTTGAAAACTAATGAATCACTTTTTGGCGAAGTCACCATCTGTTGGACCTAGGTCGAAAGGTTGGACTGATCTACATCAAAGCCAGCCAGCCTCTACTAGTGATATAGCAGTGATGATATAGAACTGTAAAGTGTGTGTTCAGCACTGGCAAACCTAGATAACTGCTTTCTGGTACACGAACTTGACTGGGGTTAGGTTTCAGTAAGTCTGTTATGTGCACTGCACAACATTGTACCACTATATGAAGGACATGAGCGAGAAGTGGATTGCAAGCATTGTGTTGTGATGCACATGCATACTTAGTGCATCACACATACCCACACACCTTGGCACTTGCAGACACGCAGGCTGTTCTAGAACTACCTAGTGTCTGTAGTGATGTTAGTTGTAATGACATTCCCCAAACTGTCTTTGTCTAGGCAAGTGTGCATGTGGATGTATGATGTTGTAGTCAGGAGTCATTTTGCCAGGCGTCTTGTTTATCTCTTTGACAGGGTACTGCTGCTAGGGTTCTAGCAACAAGGGAAAACGGTCAAATTTCAATTAAAAAAAACACGCCACCCAGAAAGGCCCGTGAATCAGGCAACCAATCTCTAAAAATATTCCACGGTATATAGCTTCCGGGAAAGCTACTGCTACAAGGTAATCAATAAACTAGAGCGCCAGTCATCATACATAAAATCAAGTGCCAATGCACTGCGGAAAAGTCTTTGAGCGTATGGCAATATGCGCGTTCGTTGAGCGCTATAACTCAACGAATATAGGTCCAATTCCTTGAGCGATTATTGCAATCGCAAGTTGAGAGCAGTGTATTCAGCCTACATAGTTCGATTGTGAGAAAACTGCACACACAGTCATCCAAGACAAGTTTTGGGATAGATTGAGACTCCCTGTGGGTAAATTGATTACTCGCAGACTACCACATAGTAGGACGTGTGTAGCAGGGGCCACTGAAGAGGTGATGCAGGCACCATACTTGTATATGGTAAGACACATCTGGAAATAGGCTGCTAATGCGGTTACAATTACACCCAGACAGTCGCGTGTAGGAACATTGCGTTGAAGCTTGTAACCTAGAGTCAGGTGACCAGCTCAAAGGCTTACGGAGTGTTTTGCAGGCCACATACTAGTAACAAAGGTCACCCATCATCAATATTACCATTTAGGCCGGTTCGAACCTTAACCCTTTCCATGCTAATGATGTCTAAAGATGTCATGCGCGCTGTACGCCAAACGACTAATGACGTCTTTAGACGTCATGAGATTTGTGCAGTACATTGCAGTGCATAGTTCAGTGTACAAAGTTTCGTTACTCCGTCAAAAAAAAGTCTATCGTGACAATAGATACACCGCTGATATAAAGTTCTTCAAGATAAGAGAAAGATTGGATTGGAGCGGCAACGGTGTGAACTCTAAATTCACAGCACTGAGCGATCGTGTTTTTGTTTGTTCATGAGTTCCCTGTTTTCTGTTGCGTGCCAGGGGATTTCCCTTTTGCACAGCGCATGCGTGATGGACATGAGCGGAAGCATGTGGATCTCAGCTTTGTGAATCGTGAAAATCGGCTGAACTGGAACTAGAAACCGAAAAAGAATGTGAGATCGAGTTGCTGTGCCTTTCCGAGGCATCGTGAAGTAGTTTCGAGAGGACATAGAAGTTGAACCTCCATGCATATTGAGACGAGAGCTACCAGGATGGATGTGTTTGGTCCTGACCTTTCCAATAAGCCCAGGGTGACGAAACCCATCAAGGTGAACTGTATTGAGAAAAAAATCCGTTCGGACCTGTGCGCGAAAACTACACCTGAAGAGTCAGTGAGCTGGAACGGCAGTTTGCTGGAGTAAAAGGGGCCAGCACGGAAACGGCTTATCTAGCCTTAATCTAGCCTTATTCTATCCTTAACCTAAACAGGAGAAACAGATACCCAGAGTATAACAACATTCTTGCGCGTGCAATCAAGATACAAGAGTACTTCTAGAATTAGGCTTATACCCGCTCAACCACATGGTGGATGTAATATTCGCATGTATGTCGGTTGAAAATACAAGTCTCAGTGGCGGTGCGAGCCCTAGTTTACCCGTCTCTACATGGCAGGTACAGAGCCTCGCCAAGGCAACGCAATAAAGATATGAAAAGGGCAAGAGGAGCACAGCAGCCACTCTTATAGAGACCATTTTAACAGTGTTAGCCTCAGCACCCACAAACATGTAAGCACCTCCAAGTGCTCCCGCATGCCAAACTCGGGCACTCGTGTGCCCACGCTGACAGACACACATGCACACATACACACATACACCTGGCCTGGCCTGGTGTACAGCTGCCAAATGCTTGGCCACGCCGCCCCCGAGACAGGGGAGAGTAGAAGAGAGAGTTCGAGAGAAGCCACGACTCCGTCCACGATTGCAATTGTGTCGCCGAAAGCCAGGAGCAGATTTAAAACAGCGATCACAGGTAGCGCAGTGCTGGTTGCAACACGGATGGCTAGTGATTGGTATGCGTTGGGGTGTGGGCGGTGATGCTGGGGCGGGTGTTGTGCACTTGTGCACAGCAAGTCCACCGGCACTTCGGAACCACCGAAGGCAGGCATGGCATTGACGTGCGTCCGGCTGTTCCGCTACAGGCTATCAGCAGAACATTTGTGTCGTCCAAGTCCAGATTTACTCTTGAATGTCCGTTTACATACCAGGCAAGAGAGCGGTACCGGGGCAGGACCCTGCACACGAGTGCGGTACGCATCTCTCCATTGCTGACGATCCTGGGCCAGAGTAAACCATTCATCAATTTGGCACAGTTTCATGTCTGACTGTATTCTGTCCTTCCACCGAAGACGAGGTCCCTGAGCTGGTCGGGGAGTGTCAAGCCATCCAAACAGCAACTGCTTAGGGAGACGGTTGTCACGCATCCGAGCTACATGGCCCAACCACTGGAGGCGGCGACGGCGCATAGTGTCCGACACCAGATCCTCATCCCTCCAACGCTTACGGAGGTCACAATTCCGGACATCATTCAACTCCTGATCCCAGCACGAGACTCCCAGGATACGTCGTAGACATTGATGATGAAAGTTGTCAATACGGATCTCATCACGACGAAGAACCGGCCAACACTCAGCACCATACAGCAAAACAGTCAGAACGCAAGTTTCGTACAGCATTTTCTTTGTGCGGATGGACAGGCCGGGAGTGTTAAACACACAGCGGAGTGCTCCAAATGCACGAGTTGCACTGGCAAGACGAAGATCAACCTCAAGGCCTACACAAGAGTCAGGGTCAACGAGGCTGCCAAGATATACGAAGGAGGCCGTGAGTTGAACATGTGTCCTCCACACATACACACACACACACACACACACACACACCTCAGACCTGCCCATCGCGGAAGCGATGATAGCGAACAGCTATGTTAGACATAGCAACTTGTGCTGGGATTACACCATTCAA